CAATTTAACTCAAGCTAACTACTATTTGTTAAGAGCTGCTATCTTAGCAGATATTGATATTCTTTTAATAATGCAAACATAGCTAAACTTTTTTCTCTTAATTTAATGATACAACTAAAAACAATATAAATATATAATTTGGCAAGCATGCAATTTTGAAAAAAGACAAGAGCAAAGTGAATGAATTAAATTCTTTACAAATTATAGATATTGATAATACTAGCTATATGCTAAACAGCATTTTAATAAGAAGAACAAAGCTGATCAGTTTTAAAAAAATCATCCTATCTGATAAAATAGTCACAAATAAAAAAGAAATTAAAGAAGTAACATGTTTATATTTCAAAAACTGAATAAAGTATAACCCTCTAAATAATAATAATTGGAAGAACTAAGAATTAACATATTTGTTACTTAATAATATTTATAATAATATTTATATAAATCTTGTTTCTCTAATTACTATAGTAGAATTGAAACAAATAATAAAAGTGACATTCAAAAGAAAGGTAACTAAATCTTTGAAAATTGCAAATAAAGTTCTACAACATTTACTCCTATTAGTTCTCTTCTATCTTTTAAATATCTTTAATAGTTGTATAACATAAGAAATTATTTCAGACCAGTAGTTACAAGTCAATATTTGGCCAATTTTAAAAAAATAATATTACAACTATGAACTTAACTCTACTAATAAATCATATTAAAAAAATTTTCACAAAAATTTTAACAATCTGACTAACCAATATTTTAATTTGTAATCAAGTATTTTTATTTTAAAATTTTGCAGTCTTTTCATATTAATCAATATTACAAATAATTTTTTAACTTACTTAAATTTTTGAAGATATAACTACAAATAAAAAAGAAATTTGAAATCTCTCTCAAAATATGTCTAAAGCTTTTGATTCTATTTACGTATTTATATTATATAAGGCTTTTAAAAGAATATATATTTTTGATAAGGTTATAAATCTAATATCATACTTGCATTCACATATCTACATGATGCAAAACTTTTAAAAGAATACATATTTCTAATAAGGCTATAAATCTGATATCATACTTGCTTTTAAATTAAACTAACAAAGTAATTACTATATTAGACCTAACTATACTCTACAATGTAGAAGATGGTATTAACCAGAAAAAAACAACTTCTTCTTTTCTTTAGAAGATATACTACAACTCATTAACATCAAGAATACACAATGAATACTAAGAGTTTGTTAGTAAAATTATTTTTCCAAATACAAAAGAAATACATATTTTAGTAATAACATATATAGATAACTCACTATAGATTGCATCAAACAAAACATCTCTTACTAACAACTTAAATACTATTTCTTTTTTCTACAAATTTGTTAACATAAAAGTCAATCTATTCAAATTTATCTTAATTACAAATATTTCAGATCTAAATAATTTAATAGTCTTTGATAGTAAACAATTAGTTGTAATTAATAATAGAATACTTTTCAAATACTTAGAAGTATAGTTTTCAACTAATAGAAAGTCAATATTAGTACAAAAGAAAATAATATTAAAAGTTAAAATTAATTTAAAAAAACTGCAGTTTGCCAATATAACTGAAAACAAGCAATTTATATTATAAATAGTGTTATTACTTCATGCTTTACTTATCATTTATACTTCTCATTTCTTTTATTTATACAATTAAATATGCTTAATAGAACTTGTACATAATGGTAAAACACAAAGCAAGACTGGCACAAGAGGTTCCTAACTTTTTTTTATATAATTCAAAAATTTACATACTAATAGATCTAGCTCAAGCTCAAACTTTAACATTAGCTACAATATTTAAAAAAATTTAAGTCACTTTAATTTTTATTCATTCTTTTTAAAAATATGTCTACAATAACTACAAAATATAGCACTTACCAATACTTCAATTTTATCTCAACTTTCAGTTTTTGTACTAATATAAACAAATACACAAATATGTTAAATAATAATAGCATTACATATATTAGAATTACAAATCTCACATAATTATGCCAATTGGTCATATTCAAAAAAGTTTTCAAACATATCTATAAATCAAATTCTTCTAAATCATTTTAGAGCTTTCTATCTTAAAGAAAAACTAAACAACCACAACATTACAAGTATAAAACAATTTTTAAATATAATAAATACAAAATTTTTAACATAAAATAGTTTTTATCACAATATTAAAAAATATCTTAAGCCAATGTCTCTACTGATTTCATTTAATACAAGATTTAATAACTACATCTACAAATCTATTTCTAACTTTTTCAAAAACAAATCTATATATTCTGACTAAATAAGTACCTAACAAGAAAGATGGATAATTACAGAAGATAGAATTGTTAGAAAAATATACAATTCTTTTAACAAAAATCTCAAAACCAATTACTTTATTATATAATCTAATAATATATTAATAGTACACTAAGGATATATACTAAAAAACCAGGCCTGCTCTTTCAAATACTGTTACTTTAATTAATCTATAACCTTCAAATAGACTGTAAAAAAAAGTTTTACATTAACTTAATTAATTTTAAAAAGGTATTAGCTTTAACTTTATTTATAATAACACAACCCTATAACTAAAAAATAATATATTCTAATCTGATCAGACCACTTTGTACTTTCAATAATTCTCTGATATTACTTTGAAATACTCTAACCAAAGCCAATTTCAATAAAGATAATATAACACTTTATATAACAAGTATTTGACAAAATATAGAAAACAAATTTTATATAGTAGCAAAATATCATTTTTAACTCTTTTATATTACTTTTAGTTGCTTTACTAATCTTTGATCTTCTTATTTAAATTCTATAATAGCAATGTTGACCTTTGTGGTTACTTTTACAAACCCTAATACTAATATAAAAATATATATTAACAACTTCTTGCTTGTTGACTTAGTTAATTTTATATAGTCTATTCAACTACACAACTATCCTATATTAGACAAGTAACAATATACATATCTTTTCTTAATACTAAAAGCAATAATATATAACTATATACTTATAATTACTTTAGATAAGAAGCTTAAATTCCAAGAAACTTAAAATAACATCTTTTTTTAGTTATTTAATAATTAATTGCTTAGTAATTACTTAGTTATTAGTTATTGATATTTTTTAGTTGCTTAGTAATTACTTAATCATTTAGTTATTTAATCACTTAGTTGATTAATTACTTAATGCTTAGATGCTTAGTTGTTTAGTCATTTAATTATCTAACTTACAAATATATAAACTTTGCTAAATTCTTTAAGTTCAATTAAGTAACAGATACTTCTTTTTTTTTTAATATTGTAAATACATCTTGAAATTCTTCAAAAACAAAAATCTAAAAATAATTTTTTTTGAAATTATTTTAATAAATAACTTTAATTAGAAACTATATTGATACTCTTTCTTTAGAGTAATTCCTATAGACAAGATTTATCTTTCTTTTAGTATATAAAAAAAAATTATTAGTATTGCATCATCTTTTTCAAACTGTTTCAAAGAAGGGTATAGTTTCTTAACAACATCCAACAGAAACTATACTTCTTCTTAAACATTACATATACTTATAAAAGATTTCCTGTACTGTGTCATTGTTATAATGTAAAAATTAAAAAGACTTTCACAGTCAGACCTCTATAATTGCACCCCCCTCAGGATCATAGAAAAAATGTTCATTTAGAAAGGGTGTGCATTTATATAAAAATTTTTTACTATGTTACTATATACTTTGAACCATGGCAGGGCGTGCATTTATGAAGAATTTACATAGTGAGTGCATTTATAGAGAGTGCAATTATAGAGGTTTGACTGTATATAGAAACATAGTAAAAATTCTTTATATAAATGCACACCCTCTCTAAATAAACATTTTTAAAAAATTTTCCTATGGTCCCGAGGGGGGTGCAATTATAGAAGTCTGACTGTACATCACTTATTATCACATATAAACAGTAAAATCTTAAAAAAAATTGGCCAACTTTGTGACCAAGATTCTTTTACATTTTATTTTTAACCGGGTACTGAATGCAGCGCTCTACGATACGAAAAATTTTTAGGTACTGGGCTTTTCATCTGCATAGTTTTGCATATTGGCCTATATGTATTATTATACGTATCCTTTGAATTATCATATAATAACGATAATGATTTTTGTCCTATATTTAAATCTAACGATAATCGTATTAATACACATGTAAAATGATATTTAATAGGATACCAGTAGACATCCCTATTGCTGCCAGATTTTGGCGCAAAGAGAGGTCAATAGGGTATTAATAGGTATCGATCAGAATAATATTATTCTGATTGATGACTATTGATACCCTATTGACCTCTCTTTGCGCCAAAATCTGGCAGCAATAGTGGTATCCTATTGGATATCATTTTACATGTGATAGTTATTAAAGGGTTGAACACTTTTGGCCACTGCTGTAAGTGGAAAAGGATGTAAGGTTTAAGGTTCATAGTATATATATACTTTTTTTTACTATAGTCCAAAATTCGATGTAAAAAAAAATTATTTTTAGGCTTTCAACCTGGACTGAGCCCAATTACACATAGATCTAAATTTGAAAGCAAGTTCAACGCAAGAATCTATATAAGTATGCAAACTTAAACCATATAAGACTGATGGATTAGACCAGCTCATGCTTATCATTGTCAAAAAATAGAGTTCCGGCATTTTCCGTCTGTAGCTCCCCTAAAATTTTGTTCGGATAAGGCAGATTATTAAGCTATTCCTTGGGAACACTCACATAACCAGTTCCTAACGCTAATATCAAGAGGAACGTTTCAGTCGATTTATGTGAAACATGGATCAAATTAAGAAGATTATTGTCGATCTTACGTGTAATATTTATATTTGTTGTTTATGTAACACCTACTGCTACTTTTACCGATAATATAAATAGATGTAATCTTAACGAAGTTAATTACGATCAAAGCTGATTATTTTCTGGCAATCTCACATGATGAAAAACATTGGCATGGGTTCATTAACATCCAAAAGACTTTTTTGGTTACTTTTTCGGATGCTCGGAGTTATAATCGTACTAAACGGTTTTGATTTCTTTCATTCGTTCGTTTTTCCATACACACCACCTCTTCGATACTCGCATACATCATTACTTACTTTATCCACTGATACAAATAGTGATTATAGAAACCTATATATTATAGGCGGCAGATCTAATAATGATAGTTCATCTCCTATTAACACTGAAATTAGTTCACAAGTGTTTTATCGATCTTTTAATCGAGACCTTGATGCTTCTTTACAAATCTGGAAAAAGATTCCTGAAGAAGTACAACTTCCTTCAGGCATTTCATGGGTTTCGGCGGTACAATTCAAACCAAATTCATTAAATTGTTACTTATTTGGCAAACCCATAAATAAACCAGCTAACACGGAGGTCACATGGGTCTACAAGCTTGATTCACTTAGTGGAAATATATCATATATCCAAACTATTCCAGTAGATATTAGTAGACAACAACAAACTGTACCTCACATTTCTGGAAAAATTTATGTTTTTGCAGATTTAGATAATGAATTATACGGACCTGATAAGTATACGTCGTATTATGTAGTTTATTTGTTAAATACTATTGGGTATGAATGGACGTTGAGAAGTTCATCGATTTATGCACCAAAACCGAGGCTTGGTTATACCGCTACTATGATGCCTTCCGGTTAATTATTATTATTACTATTATTGATGAATGTCCTTAAAATGGAATTTCTCAAAATTAATGATTGAGTTTATTCTAATAAATAGGACAAATATTTTATATTGGAGGTCGAGAATTTCAAGATGGAGATGTGAATATTTATGAGGTAATTTAATTAGAAAGAAAATTACAACTTTTTTTAAAAAAATTATATATATATAATTGATTTAATTCTTGTTTGTAGATTCGAATTTATGACACTAATGCCGGAGAATGGACGTCAATGGTAAGTTGCAACATAATATGTACGTCGAAATACTGTAATATGTCAGAATACTTAATTTATTTACCAATAATATTATTATTCATAAGGAAATCAACAGTACATTAAAAATTGATAGACGTCATGGTCACACAGCCGTCTTAAGTATATATAACTTTTCATTTTAAACATTTTAATTATCTTGACATTAATCAATATCATTAATTCGTTAAATTGTCTTTCAAACGTAGCGTCCGATGGAAACATAGTAGTTTATGGTGGAGGGAAAGGAGAACTACACACTACAGCTTATCCACAACTTTTTGTTCTAAAAAAATATAGAAAGTCATATAAATGGGTTGTGCCAACTGTGAGAACAACAACTTATTTAGCACCAAAACTTATTTATCATTCTGCTGTACTGCATGAGAACTTTATGATTATTTCTCTTGGTATGTATAAACAAGTTGTTTGTAAACAATAGTGGCAAGCAACAATGCAACGGATAACGTAATTTGGGTCGAACAGACAAATGATTGAATGACATGTGCTCTGCAACGGACTGCCAGCAAATTTTCGGTATTTGTCGTTACTTGCCCAGTATTGGTATTGTTCGGCAATTTTTAAATCATAAACATGATTATGCCGAATAACAAAAAAAAAAATAAAATAAAATCTGTTACCAGATAATGTTATTAAATATATTTGTTAATCAATCATAGGAAATTTTACAAATACTAGAAGGTGGCCAAAATCAACAAACCAAAACTTATATATATTGGATATAAATACTTTTACTTGGGTTGCAAGAACCGATATACGTCCTTTATCACTAATAGGTAACTTATTAAATAACATATTATTATATTTGCATGTTACAATTAAATTCATAAAATTATTTTAACAAACCATTATTTTATTTTTCATGAATTAAATTCACTTTTTAAAATCAGATAACTTATTTCTTTTGTTCGTATTTATAATGTTAATATGGGCGTATCAGAGATCAGAAATTACTCATTTTAATATTTGTTTCGGAATATTAGCATATTGTTCTCCCTTTAGTTTATTGAAAACACTTCAGATTCCGTTGGCTTTTTTGATCTCTAGTATTTATGATATATATAGCGTGTATTAATGTATTATTATTATAGAATAAAAGGGATAACAAGTATTACAACATTCATTTTTGAATTATTTGATAAATGAACCATTGAGTAATTAATACCTATAAGTTATTCTAGTTTTAATTTCAGTGAATTCAATTCTATTCGGCTTTGGTCCACTTGAAAAGTTCATTATCCGGATTTAATTTGGAAAGAAATAACAATTATTGTCGCGGAAAATTTAAATACTTTAATAAGAAATTTTCAAATTTTTTGATGCATTTTTATAGCTTTTTTTGTATAGTTAGCTTAGGATTAGGGTTAATTTTGATCATAAAAATGTATAAGTGGATTTTGGTAGGGTTTATATTTTAAATCGAGGTCACTAATTTCCAGCTTCAGTCGCGATAATTACTTATCGTACTCGTTTCATTACTTTAGTCCATATTTTCTAAGGGTTAAATTAGTTATAGTGAGATGTTTTGGATATTTTATTGCACGAGATGCGCTATCATAACAATCGGCTGATTTTATTGCTATCCTGTTTACTATAATATCAGGATTCGTGTGAGCACTAGTGAAGTGTGATATCTGAAATTTTCTGGCGTTCAGTACGTACATTATGTATAGTTGTATAGTGTGTATAGCATGTGCAATACGTGTACGCATGATATATAAGCCATCTACATACAAATTTTGCAAAGAATAATTTTTATTTCGAAAATAAATGCGGTTTCATAAATAAAACTTTAAGATATGAACAGTTTTATCATTTGTTCCAGAATATTCTAAAAATTTTTTATGCGTACTGTACTATACGCGGCACATCATACTTGAATAATAATGTATATAGCAAAGATCACAATTATGTAATGGAATGGAAAGGTTTAATCCCATTCATGTGATGATAGATAAAAGTTTGTTTTTTTTTGGTTACTAAGACATTAAAGGTAATTTATTATGATGAATCACGAAATAATTAGTTCCCCATGCAAGTATAGTTAGGCTGTGTTTATATGGTAAAGAGAAAAAATTTAAAGTGCATGCAGTTTTTGAATGAAAACATCAATTATTGGGTATAATTAATATTTTCTAACCAAAGTTCGAGACGAATTTCGACGAAATTTTTTTTTTAATTATATTTCGACGAACTAGTTTTGATGACCATTCATTAAAGGATTACTTACCTTCGACAATTACTATGTGAATTTCTACGAGGTACTTTTTGTATAATACGTAGTGAGTCCGTTATTAAAACCAATAGAGTTTCATTTAAACACGACGCGAACGCGTAATGTCAAATCTTGGTTTGTATAGAAATTTGTTTCCATTGGTGCATCTGCCACATTTGTATTACACTTATCGTGATAGAAACATATTGTTTGTTACAGGCAGGTACAATAATTATTCTTGCCTTTGTATAATCTAAAACTATAGATTCAGACATTTGAAGACGTATGGTTACGTCCAATTAACGTTGTCACGTCAAAAGTGTCATAACAATGTAGGTCATAATGACTGAAAGTTACGATGTTACAGAAGATGAAAAGTTACGACAATAGAAAGAAGTTATAGAGATACAAAAAGTTACGGTATCGAAAATGTAAAAGGCTACGGAAATAAAGATGGTTACATATCAAATGAGTTTTTTTATTTAATTTTATTTCCATAACAATTACTTTTCCAATTATTGATCGATCGAAGACTTTATTATTAACGTTGAAAAAGGGAAAATAGATCTCTAATCAGGCCTAACCTAACAATTATATAGGGTTGTGTCAATAGAAACCAAGCAAGCATTTTTTAATAAGTTTTTTTTTTAAAAAAAAACTTTAAACAAGAATAATTTAATTAAATTTAATTAAGGTTTTTCAAATTAATTCTAAAAATTTATGAAAATTAATTTGAAATTTTTTTATCAAATTTGATTAAGTTTTTGTTAAGTTATTCTTGTTCAAAGTTGCAAAAACTTTTTATTATAAAAATTTGCTTGATTTCTATCGACTCACCTCATATATACGCGTTAAATCTACGACTTAGATCAAATATTATAGCATATGCAATTAGAGCTTTTTTGACGCGTCATAATGTCATTGAGTTACATTAAATGATTATTTTATTAAAAAATTTTAATCTAAGACACTTTAGTGCTTTAAAATGTTAAATTAACGTCAAGTTGGATAGCAAATATGGTGTTTTACTGTATGATACATATGTACGTGTTAGAATAATACAATATAAACTCGAAATATATATCAATATAATTACATTAAACCTTATTTGAATACTAGTGCGAAACTTGGCACGAAACATCAAAATGAAATTAAAGCCGCGAAACTATATCAATATTAATTCCATTGATCCTAATCATCTGACTTCTATATGTAGAAACCAGAGAAAACAAGAAATCTAGAATTTAACAGTGAGATGGTACTACAACTTTTCCTTAGCGCATGTCAATAACTGACGAAATTGACCGGATTTGATTCATATTACTCATAAAAACATATTTTACATCATGCTCGATTTGCCTTTTAACCATTAGAGGCTGTTTATAACCTATTGTCTATAACCAAGAGAATATAAAGTAGAATATAAAAAAATCAGTACAAAACCTGGGTAAGTATCTGATATATCTTCTTTAACATTCCATTGGGCTATAATCTGCAGGTGAATCGCATAAACAGTGAGATTTTTTTCCTAGAATAAGGTCGGTAACCTCTAATTCAATAGACATCTTTATTAACATGTTCGATATCAAGCATTTTTAACAACTTTTTTGCGCCTAAAACTGTGACAGCATTAGCATGTATATTGTGAATGTAAAGCAACGTGTAATTTATTCCCATTGGTCAATACATCATTGAGATACAGCAACTCCTACTCTTTAGACAAGTATGATGAATGCTAGAAATAATATCAAAAATGTTAAGTTCTATATCCATCATCGTCCAAAATCAACGTGCTTTCACATCCAATTTTGATAATGACTTAAATAACAAATCCTTAGGCCTAACAAAGAAAACAGAGCTGATACAAAAGAATAATCTGTAGCAACAATACTTGCTAGTATCATGAATAAAAAAAATAGGCAGCTTGTTCTTTATATTTTTTTTTAAATCAGCATTGTATAAAAATTGGAAAGACAAAGAACGGTGTGTTATATGAGTGCCGCCAAGGGAAAACCTGAAATCCATTTAATTCATGTCCAGTATGTTTGGTGTGTTTTGTTTTTACGAAAATTATGGCAAAGCTTGCTTTTGCCAAATAATAGATCTTAAAAAAATGGTTCAAGTATAATATAACTTTCATAATAAATACATTACACAAGTAGGCGCTAATAAAAAAACTGTTCGATATGAACAAGAATTTATTGACTGGAAATTGACTGGATTAAAAAAAAAAACCACACAAGCTATAATTTCAAACAATTAAGACTTTATTAATATTTGTCGAAACTATGTTGTAGGAAAACATCGACTATAAACAGGTGATGATTAAAGCCCGAATAATTAAATCTGAATTAAATATATTACGGTCATATCATTACCTGTTTTTAATTATATAATAAAAAACTTTTGCATCCTATACGCAAGTCTGAAACCTGTGATCACCAAATCGAAAGAGTATAAAGATCAGAATTTAACGCAGGTTTTAATTTACTTGACGTTCGATATTTAAATATACTTATATAACTAAAATTTCGTGCTTAAAACTTTTATTTAGAAGTCAAATTGTTAGTAAAATCATGAGTTATCGTTATTTGAGAACAGCTGTATTGTTTATCATCAACTCAGACAGACTAAATGCTTGGACCATATAAAAAGACTGGTCCAGAATCATAGGCAGAAGTTTGTCTGATTGGCTAATAAATTTAATTTAATTTACATTATTTATACAGTTTAGAGTACCTTTTAAACAAAACGAAAACTAATTATAATAAAATAAAAGAGGCTGTATAGAAGGTTTCATTAGAGCTGTAGGACTCCATAGCCGAAAATAAGATCTAATTCTTGTCCGTTTAAAAAAGGTAGTATAGTGATAACTTATCAAAATCCGATAAAATCAACTTATTATTCTAAACTGTATAAATAATGTAAAATTAAATTGAATTTATTAGCCAATAGGTCCAGAACCAGTCTTATAAATGCGAACCAAAGTTTCGGATCATTAAACTGCTTAGGACTCAATTGTGATTGGAATCAGTAGCCTTTAATTAGTGTAAATATTTTTTAGCACCGGACTGACACAATCTTTAGTATTGGAGGACAATTTTAACCTGGGGTGACATAATCTTCGGTAAAGGTAGGCAAGATAGACAATTTTAACTCGGGTGGCTTATAATCACGAAGCAAATCAGTTACGCCATAGTTGTGCCACCCAATTTAAAATCTTCGAGGCAAGTCACGAATCATTTCGTTACGTGCACTTTTACTTCAACTAATCGATTATATTAACACCCTGTATTATATATGAGCTGCCGTCAATAAAAATCAAGCAGATTGACATTTTTTAAAAAAAATCAATACCTTAACTTTCGCTACTCATATCTCGATGAATTTCTAAGCTATTCTCATGATTGAATAGTCAAAGAAAGCTTAGATCTTAAGCTTTCATTTGACTATTCATTCATAAGAATAGCTTCGAAATTCATTGAGATATTAGCAGTGAAAGTTTTAAGGCATTGATTTTTTTTTAAAAAAATGTCAATCTGCTTGATTTCTATTGACGGCAGCCTATATATTTGTAAACGTCAATTTAAATAAAGATTTCATTTAAGGTATTTTGGTACTTTTTTACTGATTTTTATTTCGAGAAAGTCTAGTATTGTTTTATTTTTCTTGCTTTAGAAGCTTTTTTTTCTATTACTTTCATTTGAAAACATATCTGATATTAATATTATTCGAAATTAATTGAAGCTTTACAGTTTGTGTAAATAAGTTAATACAGTGTTAATTGTTGATTAGGCAATTAATGTCGCCAAAGTTTGTCATATTCCGTATTTCTTGGATTAATCTTTTCATTTTTTTTTTTTTTTATTAAAAAAAATATATAATTCGAAGGTTATAGACTGGAAACCATGTGATTGCGCCCTCGATTGTTGGCTACGCTAATAATTTCCACCAATACACTATATTAAATTTTTTTTTAAATATAATGAGCCAATGAAACCTAAGGTAAAAGAGGGTATTGTGGTGAACCTAATATAACTCTAGTTCGATCGATCCAAACCAAATGATTTTTATATCATACGATTCGTTTTTATGAGATTAACTTGTTAAAGAAACAAATTGATATATAATATTATACTGCCAATGTTTCATGACCTAGTGATCCGCACCATTCAATTCGTTTCATAAGGACGAATTGAATGATATAAAGATCATTCAGTTTGGATTAATAGATCCCGAATTATATTAGATTCGTCACAAAACTTTGTACAAATGTTTGAATGTTGATACGTATCTCGTGATCGTGTAATCATCGAGAGATTTTGGTACCATACGATTCATCTTGATGAGGCGAATTAAATGGTATAAAATACACTACAAGTTATTCTAGATTATCAATTAACTTCGTCATAATAACCCTTTCTACACAATATTAACAAGATTTCGAATTTAGTTATGTAAGAATTTGCTACATAACGATAATGATAAATTATAAAAACCTGTTGCAAACATGATATAGTTTTGAAATCATTTATAAGTGTTTGATCTCGTGATTTAATGACTGAAGAATCGAATGATATTTTTTTAAAATTTCACATGCACTATAATGTCTCATGATTTAGTGATTTAGATTGATTAATTATACATTAGCATGGGCATGGTTGATTCCAAACATGTTATTGGTTATAATACATACCATTGTATTATCATAAAACAAAATTTTTATCGGTTTTGTCCATTTTTTACTACATACGTATTAATAAAATGTACATACAAAGGAACCTTAGTATCGTCTTAAGAACTAAAAATGTTTTTAGTGATATTGTACGAAGAATAATTTTTTGTCGGTTGGATCTTTTTTCTTATATATTAAGTCATGGAGTAACTGTTTGAGCAATGATCTGACATAATTTCAGTTGAAAGTGCGTTCTGACTAATTCTATATACGTACATAAGTACGTGTTTCTACATGTTGATATTATATTTGTATTGAATGATACTATATAGTGCAGAGTTTCGCCGCCGTGAGTAACAATAGTTTGACATTGATTTTTTACCCTTTAAGCAAAAGTATCACTAAAGTTACAAATGCATTAGTCATGTTAAATAATCTCGTGATCTTGATATAGTAATTATTATTACAATTGTTACAACTCAAAATATCAGATATCGGAAATGTTTATACGTGCGTATAATTCTACGGAATTTAGGAAAATCATATTACCAATGATGAATTAAATGGGAATTCATTTGAAAATATAGAATAAACAAGGAATTTTCCATTTTCATCAACTTCGTTTATTCTTTTCTTACTTATTCTATTTGAATGGCGCCATTATTAATATCTTCACACTATTCGATTTATATAATTTAGTAAATTTGAATGTGTCTTGAAATGACCAAATTTGTGTAAATTTGTACATGCGCATAGACTTTACAAAAATAATAAAAAAGATGCATTCTCATGTTACGTACGTAAACATACTTTTTTTTTCTTTTTTCTTCTGGACGATAATGCCTTACGTACCACCTAAAAAAGCTACATATACCAAGTTATCTATAACGATAAAACAAGTTAATCCTTTAAATGTAAAGAATAAATTAGAATCTCAAAAAACAGCGACACGTGACACCGCTAATAATCACGCTGTTTTAAAATTAGACAACTTGTCTATTTCACCAAAATTAACAAATACAAGAAACTCATTACTTCGTAAAAAAAATGGTGAAATCGTCAAATCATCATTTAAAAACCCTGAATCAAACCCAACTTCTCCAGCTTCTCCAAAACGTGTGAAGTTTAACGATCTAAAACAAATCAACATTATATCTGACGACTTTTCAGATACCGAGAGTGACGTGTAACAAAAAATTTTTAAATTCACTGTTATCATTTTAAAAGAGATTTATTTTACATGAGAGTTAAACAAAACAAAAAAGCTTACATATCAGAAACACTTAGTTTATTATTCAAATATAATCAATCATATATATAATGATAACAGGATGCTTTTGTCGTTGGATTAATGGTATCCGATTGTACATAGGATAATGAGTCGCGGCTGAAGCTGGAAATTTAAATACTTTAGCATCTATTTTAGTATTAAAATTATAATTAGGTTAGATAGTTTTAATAGGGTTTATATTTTTTAAATCGAGGTTCCTAATTTCCTGCTTCAGCCGCGACATTATGTATTCCTTCTTCTTTCACAAGCGACTAATATGTATTGAAAATCAGATTTAACATTGTTAATATTTATAGTAGTTATAACTAAACTTTTAATGTATTGAAAGATACATATAACTGATAATTTTGACCGAAAACTATATTTCATAAGTATAACGATAGAGAATTGCTTATCTTAGTCGGGGGGAATTACCAGTCAAAAAACGGGACTAAGAAACAAGGGTCAGATATACGTAGTATGAAAAATGTTCAGAACACCCCAAACCTCGTGTTACCTAAATTTTGGGACGGTTCCGTTCATTTCACCGATTCACCGACAAAGTAATTCTGGTCATTGTCATTAGGGTCAGGTTTAGAATTAGAGTTAAGTTTAGTGTAATTTATAAAAATAAACTTGTCAATGAAACGTACTATCGATGAATCATACTATCAGGATCGTACTGTCAGTGAATGATTTGAACCCTATCTTAGTCTCATAACCTTAAAACATGAAGGGAGAAATTTTACCCCGGTTAATTGTAGTTAATTTTCTTTCATATATTCTCAGGCATCTTATCACTTTCAGTTACGGTAAGCTCTCTTGTAAGTTTAAAAATTATAAATTATCTTAACTATCGTATTCTTTATTATATCTCAAATCTTAAAAATGGGTCATGATCTAGAAAAATCACATTTTTCAGTACTTGCTTTCGAATAGAGATTTTCCTAGTTCATTACCTAATTTCTTAAAACCATAAATAATAATAATAATAATAATAATATAATAATATAATAATAAATTTATACAATACGTACAATAATAGAAATAATTATGAATATATGAAAATAACTAAATAAATAAATACAGTAAAAAAAATATATAGATACTATAAATACTTAATAAATAAAAAATTAACAAATAGGGCAAGAACACAATGACGAAAATGTTGATTTATCATCACCGGATAGTAATGGATCATTAACAGATTTTCCAGAATTTGAATCTATAATAATAGTTAATTAATTAGAAAAATTACTTAGAATAATTGCTTTTAACACGAGATTTTGTTCAAATCAGAAAATATTCTTACAGGAATATATGTCAAGAAATGTGCCATAAGATGGTTTCTTCATTTTATACTTTGAATTTAAATTCTCATCTGAAATTATAAAAAATTTGTTTATATTTGGTTATGAAAAATTCCAAAATTTGAATAAAAAAGTTTTTTACCTTCACTAATTGAAACATCATAATCTAAAAAGATACGTAATAAAGAGAATATACAGTAATCAGTAAATATTATTTATAAACAAAAAGACTAAATTTTAATCTTACATTGTTGTTCTTCTTTTGTAATAATATTATCAGATAACGATGGATGAGATACTATTTCCTCTTGTGTAGTAATTAATTTTGTCATTGAATCAACAGAATTTAAAAGACCCTCTGTATTCGTATTCGTATTCGTATTCGTATTTATATTTATATTGGGATCTTTTATTAAATCCATAATTGGATGTTGTTTGTATGCTATTTCCGAAGATCCTAAAACATTTTGTCGCATAACTTCGTCGAATTTCTTTTCATCAACGCACATTACAATATCTTGCGTTTCATAATTTGTAAAAGGTATAAAGTCTTGTGGTGTTGTACCATACGATCCAACACATTTTTTGTATGGTTCTGTATGTACCGATATTGTCCGATGCTCGATAATAGCGGGCGAGGAGGAAAGATAAAGAATGCTATTAATATCATTTAAATTTATATTACTTTGCATTACGTATAAATTTTCCTTTAAAGTATTATTATCGGTATGATTATCTTGCGACATTTGTTGTTCAATGACATGTGTCTTTTCACAATCTATCATCAAACTATTCGTAGATTCTTTTAAATATTGTTCTATCTCTGTCGATTTTAATTCATATCTCTTGTTATCTGATATCATACGTGACAATTCTTTCGGTTCGATTTCAACAGTTGACATATTATCATATTGATTCATTAGATTGGTAATCTCGTCAATTGAATTCTGTTCTAAATCAAGGTCTTGTTCTATTATGGCTGGTAATTTATTTCCATTAATATCGATAACATTTTTAACTGTTTTTATTTTGTTCATCATACTATTTACCAACTCGACAGCATTTACTTTCGTTTCGACATTAATTTCTTTAGAAGATTCATCTAAACTCTCTATAACTTGATCACTTTTCAGATTTGAATTATCTTGTTCATCTACTGATTCGTTTTTGTCTGAATGAATCAAATTATTGCATATATTATTATTTGATCTCTCTATATTTTCTATAGAGGTTTCTATAACTATCGGATTATCTAATGAATCTAACGATGTTGAATCACAGATTTTAAAGATTTTATCGGGTGTAGTAACATTTTGTTCAGAATTAAATACTACAATATCACTTTTATGTGACTTGATGTCTTGATACGTGGAATTATTAATTTCCGTGGAATTCTTATCATCATCTTGTGTCGTACCTGAAGTTGATTTATTATCATCTTGTGTCGTATCTGTAGTTGATTTATTATCATCTTGTGTCATATCTGAAGTTAATTTATTATCATCATCTTGTTTCGTATCTGAAGTTAATTTATTATCATCATCTTGTGCCATATCTGAAGTTAATTTATTATCATCTTGTGTCGTATCTGAAGTTAATTTATTATTTTCTAAACATTTCTCCATGAATAATTGTTCATTATTTGTTTCCTCAGGAACTTTATTATTTTCCTGAAGAACATTATTCGTTTCCTCAAGAACTTGATTATTATCCTCAAGAACTTGATAATTATCCTCAAGAACATTATTATTAACAACTTCATTTGATGATGATATATTCTTAAAGTCATAATCATCTTTACAACCATCATTACTTTCCGCTGAAGTATCAGATGTTGGTGTTGAAGATCTTGGGAAATAATTATCATCAGATATTTGTGATGTTATTGACGATGTAAATGAAGTTCTCCTATCCTTTTTAACATGAGAATTTAATGTTAAATTATTAGGTGTTATATAAAATGAAATTTGTGAACTAGAATTTTGTACACTAGAATTTGATCGTTGACGCCTGGTTATTTCTGGTGATGTTGAATTATTAAATGTTGGATGATATGTTGTAGAAAATGATACTTGTGCACTGGAATTTGATCGTTGACGTTTGGTTATATTTGGTAATTTTTTAATTTCATGATTGGATGTTGGTGTAGATGGTCTTGAAACATCATGTTTTCTTGTAGTCTCGGTTGTTAATGGTTTTATTATTTCGGATGTGGATGGTTTTATGTCTGTTTCTGATATTAATGGAGATTCAGGTAACTTTGTAATTTCTGGTGATGGAGCTCTTGATGATTGGGTTGACAAGATAGAAACACTTCTTTTCTTAGTTACTATTGGTGTTGACGTTGATGATGTTTGTTGAGATAATTGTTTGGATTTGGTAATTATATTTGAAGAATCATGTTGTTGTGTTGAGCGATTTTGTTTCGCTTTAACTTCAGGTACTGCTGGCGACATAACAGAGGTAGGTCTTTTCGTAGTTTTTGATAGTTCGGGTGATGCAGGTCTTGAATTTGTCCTTGAATTTGTAACTGATATTACAGAAGTAGGTCTTTTCATAGTTTTTGAGAGTTCAGGTGATGCAGGTCTTGAATTTGTAGCTGACATAACAGAAGTAGGTCTTTTCGTAGTTTTTGAGCGTTCAGGTGATGCAGGCCTTGAATTTGCCCTTGAATTTGCCCTTGAATTTGTAACTGACATAACAGAAGTAGGTCTTTTTGTAGTTTTTGAGAATTCAGGTGATGCAGGTCTTGAATTTGCCCTTGAATTTGTAACTGACATAATAGAGGTTGGTCTTTTCGTAGTTTTTGAGAATTCAGGCGATGCAGGTCTTGAATTTGTAACTGACATAACAGAGGTAGATCGTTTCGTAGTTTTTGAGAGTTCGGGTGTTGCAGGTCTTGAATTCGTACTTGATATGATTGACGTTGATCGTTTGGCAGCAGTTTTTGAGAGTTCAGACGATGTAGAACGCGAAGATGCTCGTCTTGTAGCGTCTGGCGTTGAAGTGGTTGAATTGTCATGTGTTGTTAAACGACTGGAAGGGCGTCTTGTAGGGTCTGGAGTAGTTGGTCGAGAAGGATTTAGATTTATTTTTGAAGATTGTTTTTTAATAATATCTGGTGTTGATGGTCGTGATGTTTCTGAGCGTATGGTTGAAGACGTGTGACGTTTACTATCAGCAATATTGTTTTTAGGTTCAACATTTGAAGTAACAGATGAAGATGATGAAATGGATGCTACAGAAGAACGTTTTTTAATGGAAGCATTTTGTTCTGGTTTAATTGGATTTGAATTATTTTTGGAATCTTCTGTTTTTGATAACTTTTTAAAAAATTTTTTTGAAGCATCAAAAGGTTTATTAACTAAAGGTTTGTCTTTTGTAATTTTTTCATCAGATTCATTTGAATCATTTTGGTTAGGTAATACTTTTGGATTAACATCAAAAGTCTTAATATCAAGTTTTGATTCTGATTGTTTATTAGTATTTAATACAGGTGTAACTTTATTTTTAGTATCTGTGGCATTTTTTTTAGTATCATTTGATTTCACAATCGATTTGATAGTTTGTTTAATACGTTCCGAAGGTTTTTTCTTGTCAGTTGCAGTCGTTGAAGATTTTTTATTAAACATTGTTATCGTTGGTTATCGTCGGTTATCGTTTTACGTGAATTGTTTTGGTTGAAATTTTTTTTTTTTGTTTATAATGATGATAATGATTGTATACAGTTTATATATATATATATGTACAGTATACTCATGTAACAGAAATGGTAATCATAAAGAATTCCGTTGAAAATTGTAAAGAAGTCAAACAGTATAGAAACACATACTCTTTTTATAATTGTAAGCGGCAATAGGGAGCACATATATATATCTTGGTATGTAGCACCCTGAAGATCACATGACCAACATCGCTACTTCGAAACAAAGGAGAAATAAAGATACTTAATATTAACGATTTACATACGTATCATTTTTTACGCCAATTCATAAGTTAAACGTAGTATATTTGAAATAATGGAAAGTTTGTGTAGTATTATCGTAGTAATTATCGTATTGATTAACCTTTTGCATCTATGCGTTAAAGGTGATCCGATCCTTTTATATGCTAACGTCTTTTATCACGTTAGTTGATAGGCAAGGTTTTTTTCTTTTAGGAACTATTGTTTCCTTAAAACTAAGTTTTTTTATGTGTGGGGGAAGTGATGTGAGGCAGTCAGTTATCATAGGTACCTACGTTATTTACGTATGTACGTATGTACATAGGTATCGGTATGCATATTTTACATAAGTTATGTACGTAAGTATAATCAAAATATTATAAGTACGCATATCATTCGCTGTATATTGATATAATAATAAAATTAAATGCGCAGTTGATGAAGCTTTTTTTAATACTATACTTAAATTAGTATATATGTATAACGGTCCGAGCGAATTCGAATGTCCTTAAAAAAACATGGCACCAAGGAGCGAATCAGAAAGCATAAATGATTTTTTTTTTTTTTTTTTTACACACTAATTGAATAGATGATAGATTATCGAGATCTTAATCGGCATTATGCGTGATTGTTAGCTGATGTAATCTGTGACTTTAATAGCAAATAAAGGTAACATGATACTCACGGTATTTCAAAATTATATAAAATGCTTGAAAATCTATAAATACCTAAAAAAAGAAAAATAAATTCGCCAAATTATACACAAATATTCTACAAAATTCTGTGTCATTAATGTTTCGAGATTGTTCGTTGTTCTTTTGCATTTCAGCACAACATATTTAATCATATATCGTTTTTTTTTTATTTTACGTAATAAACTATTAATATTATCAGTTATATTAAAATTTAAAGCGTTACGCGTTTAAGATCATCCCATTTTACCTGTTACATTATTTTAGCATTGCTATTCCATGCTATAATTATTTGATGTGTTAATTTGGCGCGTGAAAGGATGTCAGAGAAGTGGATTAGGGGTACATCTTAAACTATACAATCAAGGTTTCATTTTCTCATGCATGCAACGATAATGCATGATGGAAGTCTTTTATAGTGAATCCTGCGTAATGTGTCAAATGGCGGTCGCATCTATATATTTATGTTAAATGCATTCCTTATTTTATTTCTATGTTATATAGTATTTTAGCATTATAACTGTATAATGGTGATAAAATTTTAGGACCCATGATCAGATTGATCGGGTACCTACCTACCTATTATAGTAAATATAATATCAAAATTCACGTGATATTATTCTGAATTCTAAACGTTGAAGAAGCGATAATGACTTTCGAAGTAAATATAGGTCGGAATAAAAATAATACAAATATAATAGCCTACAAATATAACATTATAAATACTATACTGAAACTCTAACCCTAATAGTGGAAGGCTTTGTCTGAGTAACCAGGGTCTAGATACGCCATGGTTCTCTTTAAATATGGAATCAAAGGTTATACAGTTAAGAGTGTTGAATTTTAATCGAGTTGTTCTTTATTTGATCTATCCATATACATTATTTTTCATATGCTTGAATTTGAAAATTTTCCAAATTTATCAGCCTCTAAAAATTTTTCAAATTTTTACAGTTGCCTAATTTCTAAACTTTACAAAATTTGAATTTCTATTGACCATTTGTGACACGGTTTTGAGTGAGTAGATGGATTCAATTTTTTCTATGTACAGTACTATCAGCTATAGGATTGTCTTTCGATCATAAATTTATATTGAATGACATAATATTTTGTTATAATAACCTCTTTATGCTATTATAAAGTTAATAAGAAAAATATATATTATATATGAGAGTGTGAGCGTTTGTCGGATTTGTATATAAAAAATTTTGCGCTCTCACGTGTCTAAGGTTAGCTTTATTAATTTTATGAAAAAAAATATAGAATGGGCAAAGTCTAGAGCTGAAGACTAATTTTGATTACTTCTTTACTTATTCATAAGTGATAAGAAATTTTTCATAATCCACTTACATTGCTATATAGGTTTATTTAAATTTATATAAGTTCTTGATGATAATTTCTTAGAGTTATTCACATTAAAATTTCGTAATAATGTTCTTGAATGTTTATTTTTCCTATTTTTCTGAGTTAGAATAATTACAAAACTACTTATGAAGCTTTAAAAAAAAACCTACAAATTTGAGTAAGTATTATATTTTGTTTGTTGTACTGAAATCTCAACAAGGTATTTAAGTACTCCAACTTGAATTCCAATAATATCGAAATTATAATTCTTAGCAAATATTAGTTCATATAACAACAATCATTTTTTCTTGTTTTTTTTTAAACCTTTGCTACTAATATAGTCAGACTTTCCAATCCAACAAAACTGCAATATTGATTACATAAGTATCTTCGCTTTACGATCGGCTAATTTCACTCCAAAGTTAAATTCTTCTAGACATTCTTTCTATAAAAGAATATTATTAAAAATGTTTTCAAAACTGAATATGTAAATATTTTTTTAAATACTCACAATGTTTTCAAGAATATTTGTTATATTTTAAGTTTTTGGAGTCTTGAATGATTTCACTGTTGCAAAAATTTTTGTTAAAAATTTCTTTGCATGTATTTCATTTTTATATATATGGAGAGAAGTCAATAGAAAACAAGCAATTTGTTTTTCTTAAATTATTAGATTAAATTTTTTATCAAGTAAAAACGATTTGCTTGTTTCTCTATTGACCTCTCCATGTAGTGCATACCTGTGTTTCTGATCCCAGATCCGAATTTGTGACTCTAGGTTAATGTTTGGATTGGAACCCAAGCCCTGGGCTTGAAACCTTTGCAAGTAAAAACGTATAAATATGACGTTCAAATTCGATCTTGTAATACAAGAAAATACGTGTCACATGAGTAATAACACGTGACCGAAGCAACCAATAATACGAATCTTGAGTAACGTTAGGGTGTCCAGGATTATGCTTAATTTACGTTCGTCGTCTTTCTATGCGGATCTTTTCCGAACTTATTGCCAACGGCCAAACAATAAATCATCAACCAATCATATTAAAGCTACGTGATACGGATGCTTTTTTTTTTGCGAAGCAATTATGCGCATAACATCGCATCGCATATTTCTGGACACCCTAAGTAACGTGAATACGTGTCACTTGATGACCTTTCTTACACTCGTTAGCCTGTGCTGCGTATATTTGTATATTATACGTTCTGATCTAAACGTTAATGGATTACACTTCGAGCACATTGTTTTTTCGTAATGTCTTTATATTATATGTTGTGCCTCAGATTAGCGCTTACTTCAGATGTCGAATTTTTTGCCAGCATTAACTGATCGACATTGATTGGCCTAAATTACACCCTTTCCCTAACCCTAACCTAACTTAGGCCGATCGACATCTGAGGCAAGCGTTAGTCTGAGGCATGATATATATACGTATAAGATATGCACAATTAGTGAATAATAGCGATAGTAAGGAAATTTTTTCATTATAATTACCAGAGTTGGTTGTCCCACTAATTTGTTTAGTTTGAAGATCAGATGACTTGTACAAAGACTAAGCGGTAACACTAAAAGCGTTTGGCGTGAGTTGGTTCTGACCTTGAGTAAAATCCATGCCCTACTAATTTGTTTAGCTTGAAGATCGGATGACTTATACAAAGACTAAGCTTTAACGCTAAAAACGTTTGGGATGGGTTGGTTCTAACCTTGAGCAAAATCCCTGCCCTACCAATTTGTTTAACTTGAAGGCGGATGACTTGTACAATGACTAAGCATTGCATTAAAAGCGTTTGGTGCAAATTACTATCTATCTCTGATCCTAACAAGTACATCATATATAGGTTAATCCACGCTCTGTTTGGTGTTATTACAAGTGTAGGGTCAAGTCCTATATTGGTTCTATATCGTCAGGAAGAGCTCAACGATTTTTATTGCTGAGTTTAGCTTGAATCACAATCATTACGTAGAGAATGAATGGAAGACATAAATGGATCGTTATACAGATAAGCTTATGTATTACTATATAGGAAATATTCAAAATTTCATTCTTTGACCCTCCTTGTTTTTAAGTTGTTGATAATCATTTTCTAAGTTGTAGATTATCCTTTATTTGTTACGACGATTTCGATACTATTTGGGTGATAAGAATTATGAATCCTGAAACACGTTCGACATCGTGAAAACCAATCAATATTTTGGAATTTACCATACTTTGCAACAAATAAATTTTTTTTAATTTTCTATCCCGATCGCGAAATAATTGTCTCGAATTCTTCTGAAATTTCTTTAGTAATCATCAAAATCAACCAATATTTAATGATGATAAGGTCTTTTCAGTAGATATTATGTTTCTATGTTTTTTTGTTACAAGGTATGAGATTCAAATTAATATGTTTTTTAAATAATTTTCACATCCATTATTCGATTTTTAATAGTAACTTTAGCTTTATTTTTTCTCATTTTTTATAATTAACGTTAATGAAAAAAACAACTCTTTATATAGATTTAGAAAAAGAAAAATATTACGTAAAAATAAAACATTGACTTTTAACTATAAGAAAAAAGGTAATAGTTAATGCTCAACACGATCAAAAAAAAAAAAAAATTACCTAACGATAGAGATAGATCAAAAATTAGTATAACATTAACTAATTTCGATCTATGATTATTTGATTTATATCAGACCTGATCAAGTATATTTGCCCATCAAGTTTTTGCTTGATTGTGCCGAGCACTAGTTGTAATAATTATCGTGGCTAATGCTGATGCTGAACTTTAAGGTCTAGATTTGAAAATATAAGCCCTGCTAACATTCACATATATACATTTTAGTTATTAATCCTAAAAAAAGAACACACTCAAAAAATTTTAAAATTTCATCAAAATAGGTCCAAATATAATCAGCCGTGACAATAATTGTGCAAAGTATAATAAACAGATAAAGAAGTTAATCTAATTAAGAGGAAAATCATTACGCAAATGTAATCATGACTATTGACCTTATGACTAATCAAAAAAAAAAAAAATCATTACAAAAAGAAAATAAATTTTATTATGAAATATTTTGTAGTGATAACACTGACCTCTTCTACGGTAAATTGTCTCAATTAGTAAAATTTATGCCAAAGTTTTGTTGATTACTGAACCTACTTGATCTCTATGATGGTGTTATAATCTTATTTTGCATCGATTTACATCACAATCATATATTTTAATTACTAAACAAACTGTATTTCAATTGTATCAAATTTACTTAACTATTTCAAAGATACATATGTAGCGGTAAAGATTACGAGAATATATCTACCCATGATAATTGACCAATCAGATTACATAATTTATCGGTTTAATATTATTAAAGAAAATTTCTTAATACGTATATATATGTTGCATCGATTTATCTAAAGTAGTACCTGGCTAAAATTAAGCCCCTGGAATTAGATCTTCATGCATGCATTAAGTAATAATTTTAGCCAGGGCGCTACTTTAGATATATAAAGTAGCTACGTACTTTATACTTCAGATGCGACATATACGTAACATAGTGTAAATTAATCTAGACTTTTTAGGATAGATTTATTGGTTCACCAATATCAATATTGCATATTAATTGTGATATTTGGTTATTTAGTAATTGGTGTCGTTGTTCTATGTTGGCTGAGTGGTAATCCTGTCGGGTTAACATTAATGTGACAGATCAAGAACGAGGGAGGAACGTCACTTGAATTATACGATGTTTCTTTAGTGTTATCTGTACATTTATATAAACACTAGTTTCCCCGACATGAGAAGTAGAAATTGCATGTCCTTTGAACTTTTCTCCCAATAAAGAGAATTCTCATAAATCGTCCCTCTTAATAAATTGCTTGTCTAAATACCCATTTCTAATGAAAATGTAATGCCTACCAGAATCTTGAGTTTCATCCCGATCTAAAGCATCGACCACAAAAGTGTGATCATGACCAAAAACCCAGTTCACCATTGGAGTCTACAAATGATGCTCTCCCGAAACCGATGGTGACAACGGGGTATAATTTGTAGATCTGCGTAACACGAAATTAAAGATAAATTTGATTATTCAGTTGTTGAATTAAGGTTAGGGTTTTAAAGTTTAAGGTAAAGATTATACTAGAATTTCACGGAGATTTTTTTTATTAGAGCCCCAAAGGCTGTTTTATTAGTATAATTTTAAGTTACATATATACCTGTGTTTCATATACTAGTGTGCTAATAGAAATTCTCAAACCTTTTATATAAAAAAAGGTTATAATAAATATGCACAAAAAGAATTTAATTATGATCTTTAGATGATAGATAAATACCATACGTAGAGGGTAAATATAATATCTATTACTAATAAAGGACAGCAAGTATAAAATTTCATTAGCAAAGAAAAAGCATGTGACAAATGATCTACCTTTAAAATGTTATCTTCTGTACGTAAAACTTTTTATACTGGTATCAGTGTCGAGTTATCTTCAGAATCCAAAATTTGATTGGACTTATTTTATTTGAATTCTAAACTTATAGATTTATATAGAACTATTTCAGATGTCTGAAATAGTTGGACAATTCTGACAAGTATATAGGGATTGGAACCGTTTAACCGTTTAAAAATTGCTCCATAGTTCCGAGCAGAATTATGGTGGTCGTGGGCCGGAATTGTTTTAATGCCGGCCAAATTAAACGGTTAAACGATTAAACGACTTTAGGCGGTTCCAATCCCTACCAGTACGTAGACCAATTGCAGAAAGTAATAATAGTGATTTTACTATGTCATATAAGAAAATTTCGGAATATGAAACTAACATAATTTTAAGTGTTTTGTTTGCTTGTCATCATAATATTATCCTGAATACGTGTCTCATATCGTTATTTGGCATAAGCCTCAGTTTATAATTATTGTTAGTAAATAAATGCGTGTAAATTTTATGCTCGTCTCAAGGATAATATAAATGTGTGAAAATATCTTTGAAGAAATTTAAATTTTGTATGATGCCAATCTTTGACATAACAATCTTATCAACTGTATACTTCATTTCTATCATTCATATTGTATGCTTCACATTTACTTATTCTTTAAATATACCGAAAATAAATCAAAATGGAAACACAGAGATTTGGAATTTAACAATTATTCATACCAATGATGTTCATTCACATTATGATCAAATCAATGAAGCGTTCACGGATTGTACGGCGGAACAATTCGAAAATAATGGATGTTTTGGTGGAATAGCTAGACATAAGACGGTAATTGATAAGTTAAGAAGGGAAAATATAAATTCGTTACTTTTAGATGGAGGAGATCAATTTCAAGGTATGTAAAAACATTTGTTGCCAATTAATACGTCAATGTCTTAAATTTCTGCATTTTAATTTTGATATTTGTAGGAACTTTATTCTTTACGCATTATAATGTAAGTTAAATTATAATTTTTTAAGACGAGTTGAATAAGAGAATTAAAGCTAAATTTTTTAATAAAACTTATAGGGAATGTTAAGTTCTAAAGTTCTGGTAAGCATTTTATATTTATGGTAAATTGTCTTTTATTTCCTTAAAATTAATCAAGTCGTACTATCATCAAATTGAAGAATTTACTTGGATATAATATTACGGTGAGTTTCTAACTGCCTCTTTTCTTGCTTTAATTCTGAGAAATATTTTAATTTATATAAAGTAGGTTATTGGAAACCATGAATTTGATAACGGTCCAGAAACACTTGTTGCTCACCTTGAACAATTAAGCATGCCAATTGTTTGTGCGAATATCAATACGACATTAAATCCTTTACTTGGAGCGTACATCAAGCCATATCATATATTTGAAGAATACAATCTTGCTGTTATTGGTTATATAACTAATGTATGTTAAGCTCATTATATTTAAGATTCCTTAAATTTGAACATCGTCTTTATAAAAAGTTGATATCTTTATATACTAAGGTAACAGATGATGTTTCTAACACGGGTCCAACCATATCATTCATCGATCCAATTCCTATAGTTCAACATTATGTTGATGAAGTACATTCATTAGGAATTAACAGAATTTTAGCACTTTCTCATAATGGATACAAACCCGATAAAGAATTAGTTGCAAAGACTCATGGTATTGCTGTGCATATCGGAGGGCATAGTCATAGCTTTTTATCTAACGATACTACTTCAAAGGATTATTCATTAATAGAAGGAACATATCCTACCATTGTCAAGAATGCTGAAGGAGACGATACTTTGATCGTACAGGTACTATAACATTACATTAACGATAATATCGATAATAAAATTTACATAACTCAACACTCTATATGATATATAGGCATTCTGGTCCGGAAAATATATAGGACATTTAGATATCTCATTTGATGAAACTGGAAAAGTAGTCGCCTATTCTGGTGCACCAATTCTGATCGATCAATCAATTCCTCAAGACCTTGGTCTAGTTAACTTAGTAAGCAAATGGAGATCCCCATTTGATAAATATACAAATATTACAATTGGCAATGCAATAGACACGTTTGATCACTCTAAATGTCAGATGGAAGAATGTACGATTGGAAACTTAATCGCCGACTCATTACTTTGGTATTGTCAGCAAAATATTAGCAACAAATTAAATTATTCAAAAGCAAATGATACTGTTAAGTTTGACATTACAAAAATAAATGCTGCATTCATAAATGCTGGAGAGATCAGAGCTGGACTACTAGAAGGGCCCATAACAAAAGCGAATATTTTAACCATTATACCATTCGATAGTTCTCTGGTAATTTTACCCTTAACTGGAAAAAACATTTCAGATTTGTTAGAAACGGCAGTGGGAAGATCACGTAACATTATTTCTGGAAAAGAAGTCAATGGCTTTATTCAAGTTTCCAGAATCAGATTTAAATATGATGGTAGCAAACCAATATTTGAGAGGCTGATCGAGATAAAAATCTGGAGTTGGGATACCAGAATGTTTGAGTCGATTGTAAATGATAGAATTTATAACATTGCTACTATTGATTTTGTCGCAAATGGTGGTGATGGGTAGGTAAATGTTTTTTTTTTTTTTTTTAGATCGATACTTTTTTTAATATATATAGATATATTTTTAATCTATTTCAGATTACTTCCATACTCAGTTTTGGGATTAGTTCATTTCGACACAGAAAATGAGATATTAACAAGTTACATCCTTGATCAAAAAAATATAACGCCTTATCTAGATGGTCGTATACTAGATATTGACAAAAAATAATCTGTTCTACTTTTAACCAATGTAACTGTGTATAGCAATAATTATAAATTCAGCCAACTACACGTATTTGACCACTTAAAATTGGTATCGTTATAAACAACCGTAGTCCATATATGGTAGTGTGTAAATTGATTATTTATTGATAATTGATATTAGTTCTGATGTATAGATAAGTGAGCTTCAAAGCTAGTTAAACCTTGTACGCAGATACATGCTTTGAAAATTCTGTTTTCATAATTTTAAGATGGCATCCGTTAGACGTTAGATGTGTGTTAGGATCGTTAGATTCGTTAGGACATTTCAGGAAGATTTGAAGGCGCCTAGCTCTAGTGTAGATGATGCTTGCAACTTAGTCCCCTGACAATCTTCTGTGGCAAATCGTTTCAGCTAACAGATTCTCAAAATTAGAATTATTTCTGAATAGTTAAAATATTTTATCCATGACCTAAATAGAGATATAAAGTCACCTACAAAAGTCTTGTCATTTTTAATTAGTGCACCGAAGCTTGTTTAACATTAGTCTTCAAGTATTTTCGTAAATTCTATGTTAGGCTAGTCCGGAATAGCCAAAAATTAAACCCATACTCGTGAAAATAAGTGAATATCTGCAAAAATACAAAGTGTTATTTGATCAAATATATATATAATTTTAATAAAATATTGATTACAAAAGGTAATTCACTTTACTCGAACTATCAATGTTTTTAACAAACTAGATTTCATTGATTGTTAAAAGTTAATAGACACGAATAGTTTAGATAAAACATTCTGGCTTGGTCATTATTATAAATAATATTTTTGACAAAATTTTTTTTTTTTTTTTTTAGTTTAAAGCGGCAATCTTGCCTGTGTGTCTTTATTAAGTAACATATGATTACATATTTTATATACAGTAGTCTATCAACGAAAGTACAACTAGTCACACATATAACCTTAGTCATTATCTAATTAAGAGTTCCGCCCATAGGTTACCCACTAGATGTCATACCTGAGACCTGCCTGTGAGTCTCCTATTTAAACTTTCTGATTTTCAACACTTATTGCATATATATACAATATTTATATTACCATTGTAGTGACATATCAGGTTAGGGTTATCTTAGTTACTATTTATATCAAAGTATCATCTCATTAGATGTTACTAAGTATTCATATTCTTTCAAATTTATCCTTGATGCAAGTTTACTAAACTGATATCAAGATTATCATTTAGATCCAATTTAGTGTATCCTGTATCTACTAAACCAATTTTTAATGTTAGAAATATTTAAATTTCAGTAAATTCATTCTTTTTTTATAGTTTTCTTTTATGTTTATCATATTACTTACTAATACATCTTCTTTTCATTTCTGATATGTTCATTGCTTCTTTCATATCGAGTATCAACTCTTTATATTAGAAAATTTCTTTTTGTGAATTTTTTTATATATTAATCTTCTATTTATATAGACTTAGTTACAGGGTTTCATATACATTCATATGTTTTCTATAGATTACAGAGTTTTTGTCTTCAACTAGAATTGAACCATTGACCTTGTCTATAGAGAAAGAGATGCTTAGACCACTAGGTTATGAAACCTTATCCTTATTTTTTTTTTTTTTTTTTTAAAGCCAATGTTATTAGTAACTACCACCTTTATTGTGTTTTTGGTCAATGCATTACATATGACTTGTATAAGGTAAGTGTGCAACTAGTCATATATGTAATTTTTAGTTACCTATTTAAGTAGTCCACTTAAGGATTCTATACTAGCTGTTATGCCTGTAACCTACTAAGAGGGTACCTATTTAAATACTCTAATTCTTATACTACACCCAGATGAATAATATCTGGTTCCCATATAACTAAGTACTATCTAACTCAATATTTAGTTTTTCCTTTTTGTATGTCTATTAAGCTGTTAAACATTTCAGAATACATCATCTGACTGTAAGGTTCTGGGATATTTTTTTGTTAACTACCTACTTACTCTATGAAACATTAATAAGGCTAGCCCTTGTAAAGTTTACCCAAACCCCAGCACCTACTTTATAACATATCCTTAGTACTTATAGTATACCCCTGCTTTGACTTCAGACTCTCAATCCAGATAGCCTAGTAGGACTGTGCCTGTCCTTGGTATATTGAACTGACCCAATATCCTTTTTCTCTAGTTCGGTTCTGGTAGCCTGGTTGGTAGTACCCCTCACTTGAGGCTCTTGTCCATCTAGCTCCTTCACATTAGTATCTGTTTCCTAGGTCTAGCCTTTATAGTAGTACAATCAAAGATTTGTATTACCTCTCTACTTAGGTCTTTCCAAGTAGGTTTCAGTTTCCTAATTCTACAGATTTACATGATCACAAAGACTTATTTTAGATTTGCACTACCCAGTACTGGTTTGCATTCCTCTGTGTAAACAAAGTTACACAAATGCCTCATGACCTGCCAGTTATGCTAGTATAACTATAGTTACAGATATTCTATCTCAACTGATCAACAGAATGCTATCGCCATAATATTATCTATGTATTACATAGGTGATTATTCAAATTTTTATTATCAGTAGATTTTGAACTCACAATCTACCACTTGAGTGATTAACAACTTATCTACTTCACTAAGTTACTACACCCTTTAACCTCATCCTTATATTTTTGACAAATTTAATTAAGTCAGTTAAATAAAATACTTAATTAGTTAAATTTGATATAACTAAATATAATGTATTATATACAGTAGTGGTCATATGTTTTGTATCACTTGGATCAAAAAAGAAAAAAAATGATATTTTGTAACTTACATGTGATAATAATATAAAAATTAAATAATTCAGAAGTATAATAGTATATATTTTATGAATAATTATTAGATTATGAATATTATATGAATTCTAACTTTTTTATTTATTTAAATCTAAAAATATTAATGCAAATTATCTAATTGATTATATAATAAAAATAAATTTATAATTTATCTTTCAATTTTTTAATAAAACAATATGTATCTTACTATAAAGTTATATATTCTTATATATATTCATCTTGTTTGTGGCTTTCTTTCTTTAATAAATATAATTATAATTCATATTTGTATTAAAAAATATTCATATATATATGGTCTCTCTTAGGAAGTTTATTCCTCCTATTATATCACAAAAAAAGAAAATATTTTACAATCTTTGGTGCTTTAAATATGTAATAAGACACAAAAAACTGGTTCTGTAAAGGATTTGCCCAAAATTAAAACTTTATGAATATTTATTGACTAAGATGAGCAGAATGTTATACATTTACTTGCAAGTGATGAATATTCAAATATTATAGAAATTCAAAAATACATGAAAATCTTGAAGTAAGTAAAAATACTGTAAAGTATATATTATGAAAAAATAGCTTTCTTTCTGTATTAAATATAAGAAACCAGTTTTAAGCAGAAAAAGCATTATAAATTTGCCAAAAAATATTTGATGTGAAGTGTTAAAGACTGATATTAAGTAATCTTCTCAGATGAATTAAAATTCAAAATATATAGTTCAAATAAATATTAATATTATTAAAAATAATTAAATGAGTTATTTAATAAGTGAAATATAATTCTACAAAGAAATACAGAAAGAGTAGTATTATTATATAGAGATGCTTTTCTTCTTTTGGGATTAGTAATATTATATAAATTTATAGAACTGTAGATAGAGATCTTTATTACTAAATATAAACTAAAGATCTTTTAAAAATAATTTAATGACATAGAATAAATAAAGATAATAATAGTTTTTATCAAGACAATAATTCAAAGCATACTGCTACTAATACTAAGCTGTGATTCTATTATAATAGCATTGAAGTACTCAACTGGCCACCTTATTTATCAGACTTAAATCTGATAAAACATTTGTAAAATGAAATTAATTAATGAATAAGACAGTTATCTATAGAAATCACTAATGCTAATAAGCTTTAAAAAGCAATTCAGAAGGTCTGGGTAGAAATAGATATGAAATATCTTGATAAGCTTATTAAAAACATACTACAATGTATAATAGATGTTTACAAAACAAGAAAAGGTTATATCAAATAGTAAACTATTGTTTTTTTTTAAAAAAACAATTCTTTATTTTTTTTATTTGTAATATAACAAAGTTTATATTTTTAATAAATAATCAAAAGAAATACATTACTAAAAATTGAATTAATATTTATTTTTTGAGTTTTTGATTAAATAAACAAATAAATAATATTGTTATATTACTAAAGATATAATAAATCCAATAATTAAAATTTATAACTATTTATTATCTATTAGCAAAATTATTTAATTAAAAAGTTAGATAATTAGAGTAATGCAAAACATGTGGCTACCATTGTATATAGCATTATATATGTTATAAATAGAAATAAAATTTAAGTAAATTCAGAATTTTTATATAAAATTCACATTTTGAAGTTAATTTTGTCATATATACACTCTAATCCTAACTTCAATTTAAATAAGAAATTCAAATTTATTTAAATTACATTTTTATTTACAATATATATATATAATATATATTCAGGTCTTATTCAAAAACTCTATTTCTTAAGTTAAATGCTATTTAAAAATACTATATATTATAGTATAAAAACTAAATATTATATATTGTAATATGTTTTTTAATCTAACTAATTACTATAATAAATATGTTAGTACCAACTAAATCAAACAAAAATATTACTGACTTAATGTAAACAAATAATTAAAAAATATAGTTAAATAAAGAAATAAAGAAGAATATTTTTAAAACTAAAATAAAGTAACTAAAATAACAAAAAATATATTATTATCAAAAATAACTTGAATATAAATCAAAAATATCAAAAAAAATATATTAATTTATTGTTAAAATAGTATAAAATCAATATGTCAATTTATTGTTAATATAATCAAATATGTTTATTTTTTTATTTTTTTTATTTTTTTTAGTTTTTATTTTCAGAATATGATATTTTTTATTCAAGTTTATAAAACACATGTTGCCTTTA